GGCAATGAACACAGGGCAGTCAGGCAGGGAGATTCCACATAATAAAATGCCTTTACGCAGGAAAGTGGTCACATGCATGCACAATTCAGGACTAAGACTCTCTTTTTACTGAATCTTTGCTACTGGGAGTGTAAACAACAATTCTTTTCCTGCGGAATTTGTATCTATCACTTGTAAAGACCTGACAACCAACACAGTGTGTTTTCAAATGTCTAAACCAAATAAAACAAAGACTTCTCTTCTTTGTGTCAGATGCTAGCAAAGATAGCAGCCAACCCCACTCTCCCTGGGATAGTGTCTAGAATCTTCACCTTAGAAGCCATATTTTCTAATTTTAAATATAGGTTTTGGTGTTCAGGGAAGAATTTGCGATAGAGAAAATTTAAAAGAAGAAAAGAAATGGGCAGGGGGATTTCTGTTCTTGAAAGATCCACAAGCAATTTAATGTTTGGATAAACCATAAGGCATTGTTTTTTCTCTTGAAAATTGCTCTTCAATAACAAAATATTATTGCTACACCAGAAAAGATGGAAAAAAAGGAGAAACTGAAACTTTATTTCAGCAAGTCTTAGGATAATAGTTTTTTTTTCTTTTCTACAGCCCAAGAATATATTTCAATTGGATTCTGCTAGAATACCCACAAAAGAAGTCGCAGGTTCTCTTAATACTAAAACTGGTGATAGTCGGCAGCACAGTATCAAAACTGAATTTTTGAAGGCAGCACAGTCAAAAGATAAATTTAAATGTAGTGGAGCTGAGACTGGAGGTTTTGCAGGCCATATTGCTAAATTAATGAATAAAAGAAGAGTGTTTACGAAACAGTGGTGAAAAAAGTCAGTTGACAGGACTGAGAGTATATCATGTTGGATGTAATTACGTCTGTAGGACACCAGAAAAAGTGGAAACAATTATTGTGGGCCAAGTTGAAGACCTCTTGAAAATGATACAAAAACCTACCTGAAAGATAACATGGAAGGTTTAATTTAAATATTTCTTTTTGCTGGTCTTCTGTTTATAGTATTCAGTAACCAATTATTTCAAGTGGAAGACTAGAGCTATCTTAGATAATGTTTCCCGGGGAGAATGGGGGTCAGTCAGCATTGTTTTCTGAGCTCTGGATATAGGTTCGAGAAGCCTTTGCTGAAGTAACCCCTTGTGCAAGTCAGTGAATATGTCACTTTAGGTTTTAACATAGGTATTTCTAATACATTACTTCATCTAAATTTTAAATTTAAACAAATTCAGATATGTAGTTGAAGAATATTTGTCTCACTAATTGGCTTCCCCTACAATGTGCAATATTAAAATTTCATAGGAGGACAATTCTGTTAAACATCACCTGCATTTTTAAATTAGATTTAGTAATATTTTGGTGTACTTTGGAGGAGACAATTTTCCTGTAATTTTTCATCTCTGTAATGAGTCTGTTGTATCTCTGCAGTATTCTGTTTTTCTGTGGTCTTGCTGTATGATCTGTGGTAGTGCTGAGTTCCCTGTTTCGTATACTATATCTGGTATTTGTATTTTTAAAATATCTCTAAATTGACAAAAGAATTCCAAGATACTACAGACTGGACTGGATTGGCTCAGCTTTTGCATCATTCTAAGAAATTGACAGTGCAGGGATGGCTCCCTATGTATGCCACCAGGCAATATAAAGAGCACGACATTGTTCCAGGAATTAATAATAATGATTAATAATATATTATCTCAGTTACTGTTCCACTAGGCAGAATGAGAAGCCAATTAAATTTTGTTTTAGAGAATGAAAACTTAAAAACCAGTTTGCTGAACAGAAAAATAATTGCACTCACTGACTCTCAGTGAAAAAGATAATCAGACTAAGAACATCAAAGCTGGGCAGGAACTTTGGGAGTTCCTTTGCTGCAGGGAGATTTCATGGAGTTTGGTGGTATTGGTTAATCTGGTTCTGAAGGCAAGGATTTCATATAAAATCCAGGTCCAAATATCTATCCTTTGTGGTACTCCAATTAATGATTTGTATGATACCTAATGAAGACAGTGATGAAAAAGTTTTAGCTTGCTGTAGGAATAGATTTATGGGATCTGACAGAGAATTCCCTTCCAACCCTGATATTCTATGATTCTATAAGTATGAACGGTAACAGATAGATAGTTTAGAACTCAGGGAAATTGTTAATTTTTTTTCCTAAACTGGTGATTGTTACTTCAGTAATAGGAAACTTTTCAACTTGAAATGGTCATTAGGCTATTATGGTGCTTAAATACTTAAGGAATGCCTTTATAAATCTGTATAATGATGATCTTTTTATGTTTCACAATGGTTAAGTATTTCCCTTAGAGTGCAGGACCAGGAGATCAAATAGCTAAGTGCATTCATCCACTTCCTCAGTCATGACTCAATCATGGACTTTCCCCAGAAGAGCACGGGTAGAGATTAAAGTGCATCTAGTCCTGTGATAATCTGATCAGATTTAATTTCTCCAACTCTTTAGACAAACATTTCAACTAAATGTCTTCTACAGTATTCTGAATTCCACTGTGGGTTAATTTCTTAGAGACTGAGAGGCATCCTCACTCCACCTATCTGCTTTACAAACGAACACAAGTTGGAGTTCGGAACACTTAGAAAGGCAATGTCTGCCTGCTAGGACAGGATGTTTTATCCATGAGTATTTGTACCATGATCCAGACATGCAAAGCATGAGTTATCTTTGTCTGATTTTTTTTTAACAATGCTTTTGATTTTTTGAATGTCAAAAAACATAGCCCATTGAGATTATGTATTTATGAAATAATGATTAATAAAGATCTGTAGTTAGCAAGGGTAGCTTGAAATAGAAAAAAATTCTTTTTACCATTGCCCTAGGCAGAATCTTAATATATTAAGGAATTCTGGCATTGCAAAAGCCACCATTTACAATAAAAATGGACAGTTTTTAAAAACTAATGTTTGAACAATATTTTAAAGTGAACTTTCCTAAATCACATTAAATTGCTTGTCCATCTACCATTGTTTTCTTCAATCCTTAAATTAAGAAAGAAACAAGAAAAAATATTTCAGTTGGCCAGGGTTGCACTTAAGTTTTTGAGAGTTGTCCAGTCTTACGGTCAGTAAAGCTCTTTTATATAGTTTCTGGGTTACTGGATAATCCAGCTAGAATTAATACAAGAATTATTTATATATATTCATATTCCTACCCTTTCTTATTAACATAATTACTGGAAATGTCCATGTGAAGCTTTCTTTTATAAACAATATCAAAATGATCAGTCTTGGTTAGCATGACTGTAAGTGTATTGGAAATGACAGTTTCCATGGTCAACAGAAAATCCAGTTTAATAGGCTTGCCAAGAACAGCTCTTCACAATGTGATACTGTTTTATTTAATATTGTTACAAATCATTCAGCCAATCCACATGCAGATTTGTTAGGCAATACAGAATCTCTTGTTAGCCAAGAAAATAAAATAATTCTTTGCCAAAGTTTATGTTTATAATATTTTTTTCATGTTTAAATCTCATTTCACTTTCTACATTTCAGTCACTTTGTAATCTGAAATATGGGAATCATACAAAGTTGAAGTGTCAGTGATTCTGTTTCATTGGATGGGTGTTCCCTTGCAAGAGCATTCAGGTGTCCAAACTACTTAGTTATTCTTCTGTTTTTTCAAGTCATGGAAGAGCCTCTTGGGGCCTGACCCTACCCCATTCAAGGGAATAGGAGTTTTGCTGTGGATTTTAATGAGTGGATTTTAATGAGTATTTAAAAAATATCAGTGTATTTTTGTCTTAAAAACTGAACTTTTGTCTTTTTCCCATTAATACTTGGAATGCAAGGGTAGAGAAAATGCTCCTTTTCATTTATTTGTATGTAGTTGTTAGTTAATGTGTAAGTACATTGTCCCAACTGACACATTTAATGCAACTGTGTTGATAGCTTTGAAAAGAACATGCACTTTCAAAACTGTATGTTTAGTATGAGATTCTGGTCCACCTGATGGACAATATTTGAGGTTCTGTAAATATTATAGCAAGATAGAACAATGATCTCAGATTGTTTAGAAGACTGTATGCCATGACATGGCAGTTGTTTGCTGCAGCTTGAATACTCTTACTGTTGTCCCTGGTTTTAATTCCTGATTCTGATTTGTGTGTGATGTTTGCTTAAAGGTTTTTTAAACAAGAATATGACCACCTAAGTGAAGGATCCTTTGGCTTTGGAACTCTTTCCCTCTGATGTGTCCATCATCAACTAGATATATTTATGCTACAAAACAAGATTCTTACATTGTTCTCTGTCTTTTTTTCCACTAAATTGTGGGATTTCCAGTTGAATGTCATTTGGTTGATGGGTAGGAATGGTGCATGGCAGAATCTTTTATTGTGTATGTTTTGTAATGGTGGTAGGATATCCTAGGAATAGTCATCTATAGTAAGAAATCTTTATAATACAAAAATTCCTCACTTGTGATTGACGATTCTAGAGGGAAAACGCTAAGCAAAACATATGTATTCTGTTGTATGTACTGAACTGATTAGAGTGGTGGAAGCATCTCTCTGAATGAAATGTTCCTGTCACTTTGTCACTGTAATCAGTTGTCATTGATTATAATGCACATTCTGCCCTGTGAATACCTCTGTTTGTAAAATATGTAGTGTCCTATTTAGTTAGGCTTCTGAGATTGTGGGGTTCTGTTTAATAAAAATGTGGATGAGGTGCCCTTAAAGCCCTGTATGACAGTGAAATACAAAACAACAAAAATAACTGATAAAATAAGGAATTCTGAAATTTAAGTTAGAAATGTCTTAGCTTGCTCACGGTAACCTGGTACTAAAGCAATCTAAGAGTAATTCTTAAAGACTGATATGACTGACATCTGTCAACAAAATTAAAAGGCTAGAAACATCTAGCAGTCTATTTTTCAGAATACTCTCAGATGATTAGATAATCAAACACAGTAAACAACCTATTTTGATTTGAAGTTAAGCTGGTGTGTGTTCTGCTTATTTTGTAGATGAAGGGATCCACATCATTGTTTGAAGGGATACTGCTTCACTGCTCATTTTTCTGTTGTTGTCTTTTGCTCCCTGTCCAAGCTTAGATGTCCTTTTCCTGTTTGGATATACAGGTATGCTACTGTATTCTGTAATTTTCAAACCGGGGTACATGAGCTCTTGTCAGGGTATGCAAGAAAAATCCTGTCATGGCAGATAACGCATTTTATACATGTCAAGGTTCCTTCCCCACTCTGAACTCTAGGATACAGATGAAATGAAAAACCCTGCATGAAAAAACATCTGCATGAAAAACCCCCTAAGCTTAGTTTTACCAGCTTAAGTTAAAAATTCCCCAAGGTTCAAACTATTTTACCTTTTGTCCCTGGACTTTATTGCTGCCACCACCAAGCGTCTAACAAATATAACCGGGAAAGAGCCCACTTGGAAATGTCTTTCCCACCAAAATCCCCCCAAGCCCTACACCCCCTTTCCTGGGGAAGGCTTGATAAAAATCCTCACCAATTTGCATAGGTGAACACAGACCCAAACCCTTGGATCTTAAGAACAACGAAAAAGCAATCAGGTTCTTAAAAGAAGAATTTTAATTGAAGAAAAAGTAAAAAAAAATCACCTCTGTAAAACCAGGATGGTAAATACCTTACAGGGTAATCAGATTTAAAAAATAGAGAATCCCTTTAGGCAAAACCTTAAGTGACAAAAAGACACAAAAACAGGAATATACGTTCCATTCAGCACAACTTATTTTATCGGCTATTTAAACAGAATCTAACGCATATCTAACTAGATTGCGTATTAACCCTTTACAGGAGCTCTGACCTGCATTTCTGCTCTGGTCCCAGCAAAAGCAACACAGACAGAGAGAACCCTTTGTTTTCCCCCATACTTTCCAGCTTTAAAAGTGTCTTGTCTCCTCATTGTTCATTTTGGTCAGGTGCCAGCGAGGTTATCTTTAGCTTCTTAACCGTTTACAGGTGAAAGGGTTTTTCCTCTGGCTGGGAGGGATTTAAAGGTGTTTACCCTTTACTTTATATTTATGACAATATAATACCACTTAACATCTAATCAACAACTAGAAACTTGTCTGAGGGACTATTTTTATTCAAGACGAAAGTATATATAATAAAATTGTTCATTATAATAATAGTAGTATCCAGGACAACACACTCTAGGATTTGTACGTTGTGTTGCATCATGTTATCCTTTACAGACCTTTTTATTTTTCTGTTTTCATATATATATTATGACCCTATCTCAGATGGGAGTACATAGTAGTTATTTGGAAAGGGAAACTGGAACTAATATGTTTGTGGTTTTTTTTAAATTTCTTCTTCTTTTGTAACCATTTACAACTGATCGCAGGTTAGTTAAGAGAAACCATTCACATTTCCTTTAAATATTGGAAATATAACTCTTCATATTTAGTGCAACTAATCATGGTTTCCTTACACAGTTTAATAAGATGTTTGGGCATTGCATGTACCTCCTGTTACAGTTTAAAAGGACATGAGTAGTAAGACCAGGACTTTTAGATCTACATGTATCTGCAATATTTCTATTATTCACTGCACTCTGCAAATAACTTTATTCTTATACAGTGCCTAAAACACTGGCTCCCCAATCTTTATTGAAGCCTTCAGGAGGAACTGTAATAGGATAATATTTTTGAGAGAGATTGTCATAGGTATACACTGTTACTTAAAGATTTCATGATTAAGAGGCTCTGTATATTGAGGATAAGGAAAATTATTAAAACTTAGTATTGATGTGAATGCAGAATGAATATTTTTACATTGAAAAATATTTTTAATATTGCTAGAGGTGATGCACAAACATTTTGTATAGATTATTGCTGCATAGAAAGATTTCTGTTCAAAATCTATCTGTCTTCTTTTGTTACCGAAGTATCCTATTCTACACTTGACCCTCTGCAGGATTTGGCCCCCCGAGAGGTCTGCATGTCTTAATCTTGTTATAATTCCCAATATAGGCGTCTTAGCTCAAATGAGAATTACAGAATTGCTCTTAGATATTGTTTTGTTCAAAGATGGAAGGTAAATTTGTTTGTAAATAACTCTGCCTCCACGTTGATCATCTCTTCTGATCTTTTAAACAGATATTACTTTTATACCTTTTTTAAAAATATATATACTGTTAATATCTCTTTCGTTTTACGGGTGAGAACTGTTTTCCTTATTTTACCCATTTGTTCCTTGTTTGGGAATCCCCGTGCTTTCCAGCTCCTGGAACACACTTATGTCAGCAGATTAACTTTTGCTTCCAGTTTCTAGTCACTGATGCTAATATAGGCTTGAATTAAATTATAAAAGGATATTTCTTTTGTATGTTCAGGAAGATAGTTTTGTTCTCTCCACTCATTTTCTTTTCTTTTTTTTTATTTCAATAATCTGCAGTTCAACCCTTGCACAGATAAGCATGAAGTCAGTGCTAGATGTTTGCTAAGGCAGGTTCAATTTAAGGATTCTGAAGCTGGCCCTAGGATACACAGTAAAGCAATAAAATGGTATTGCTTAGCAATTAGCTTTGAGGTAGAATCCCCCAAATTAGAACATTAAATGATTAAAAGTTACAGATTGAAAGCTGCACTTTCCTTTTTTTTGTTTTGTTTTTGGAAAGCGCTGTAGTTATGGATTTATACAATAGGAGTCAAAGTCCATTATAGCAGTGGTTCTCAACCAGGGGTCTGGGGCCTATGTGGGGCCGTGAGCAAGCTTCAGGGGGTCTGCCAAATAGGGCCAGCATTAGACTCACTGGGGCCCAAGGCGGAAAGCCGAAGCCCCGCCACATGGGTCTGAACCCAGGGCCCTGAACCTCATCCCTCGGGTTGAAGCCGAAGCCTGAGCAATGTGGCTTAGTGGGGGTCCCCTGTGGCGTGGGGCCCTAGGAAACTGCCCTGTTTGCTATCCCCTAATGCTGGCCCTATCTTTTATATACAGAAAAACAGTTGTTATGGCAGGTGGGCCGGGGAGTTTTTATAGGATGTTGAGTGGGGCCTCAGAAAGAGAGAGGTTGAGAACCCCCCTGCATTATAGAATATGCCTAACTTTTGTGAGCCTTTATAGGTTGTCTACATATTTTTTAAAACCTAAGGTTAAACAACGCTAAATGTGTTAAGTTCAAGCAAGAACAGAGTCTAGTTCTTCAGCACACTGAAGACACTGTAGCCCATGTTTCATCTTCCTCCGAAGGCTTCATCTTCATGTTGAATCAGAGGAATGACAAGATAGGGCCTGGTGGAACACCACAAAGGTGAGCCCCCAAAGAGAAAGAGCAGTCTTCCATTTCTATGAGAGGAAAAAGCTGAACTATTCTAAGGCAATTACTTCCACCTCTGCCAAATCCAGCAGAGACGTACATAGCACCTTGTAGTTGATTGTATCAAAGATTGCTGAAAAATGTAACAGAGCTAGCAGAGACATCTTGTATTGCTGTTTCCATACTTGTCCTGGTCTGAAACCTGATTGTCTGAGGTTAAAAGATTGGAAAGTTTCTCCACTACTTATCTTCTTAATTATTTTCCCCAAAAAGAGAAGTTAGAGGCTGGGTAATAGATAATGATGACACTCGTGTTAAATGGTTTATTGAACAAGAACCATAGTATTGGATCTTTGAGGTTTTATTGGGAGTTTGCCCTCCCTTTCGGAGACACTAATGATCACCTCCAAAACTGAGCCACCTGAGTCATCCAGACTAGCTCAGCTATACATGCCAGACTGAGTACTTCATCTGGCATGGTGGTGGTTTTATTAATGATTTGACCTCACAATGAGTAGCATGAGTTGAAGTCCCAGGTTATTCTGTGCTGTTGTCCTAGTCGGTAACCAACAGGTCTTGGTACAAGCTACATTCATATATAAATTTTAAAATCTAGTTTGGCACCCTGGATTTATGTTGTCATTTAAGCTCAGCTGCTCAAAGGTTGGAGTCGTGTCTGCCCAGATCTTTAATCCTGATTTAAAATTATACTTGCCCTTGTGAGTTAAGTAAGAGCCTCCCACTCCTAAAGGTTTTACTTGTACATCACCTTTTCATGTTGATTTAGCTGATACTATCATGATAGCTGCAGGTATCTGCAAAATGTAAAATCTGTGATGGGGACAAAAATGAAAATCATTAGCGTATTGAACTTGCACCAGAACTGTAGTGAGCAAAATGGGATTAGCCATAGAATGACAAGCGGCTCTATTTTAGTTTCTGAAAAATACTGTCCACAGGCATGCTACAGGATTCCAGTTTGTTTTTTCTAATGGAGATCTGCTATTTGAAACCTTAAGGATTTGTTCCTGAAACAGCTGTCACTTCAGTTGGGTGATAAGGTGCACAGGAAAACTGAGATATCAGTTAGTCTGTTGTTGCTCTTAGCTTCAGGGGTTCTGTTTTCTGGAAGTCGGCTGCTTTGCATACTGTGGGTGCAATAGTAACTTTCCTAGATGGAACCTTGTGTCTTAAATTTAGATCTCATTTGAAAAATTTGAAATTTGCATAGTGGGTATAACTTCTGTTAAAGTTCGCCCAAATGGAAAAAGGTACCATGATCTGTAGTGGTGTATAAACAAAAATGTAGTGCCAAATTTTCAAAAGCTGAGATCTCTGTATTACCCACATTTGTGTTTACCTCTAATTGCATATGCACTTAGTTAATGCATATGCAGGTGAAAGTATCCCCATGCATGCAGTTAGTCAGTTTGAGCACCTAATGTGAAGTATTCATATGAATTCCCTGCCCTTTTGAAATATGGCCCTTACAGTATAATAAAGTGTTTGTTGATGTGCTTTTAAATCCGTTCTGTGTTGCTTTGTGGATGGTTTCGACTGTGTTTTTCTTTGTAAGAATTTTCTAGTTTGGTGTGTTAGAGAAGAGAATTCTTCACCCAGTTGGCTACCAGATGCTGTAAATTTTTTTAAAAAGAAAAGGAGTACTTGTGGCACCTTAGGGACTAACCAATTTATTTGAGCATAAGCTTTCGTGAGCTACAGCTCACTTTTTTAGCTTTTCATGTATGACAAACTTTCTTGAAAAAAATAAAACAAAAAAGATCTTGCTGTCAGGAGAGTTACCGAGGAAGACACTATTAATTTTGTTTGAAGAGATGTCCAATATATGTCATTTCAGAAAGTGGAGTCCTGTGGGGCGTTGTGTAGATATATCAGTATGAAGTCTCATTTGCCAGCTGACAGTCCAACCTTCAAGCAGATTCATATCTCTATGAAACTGTCTGTCACCTGCTGCTTGTTCTATGTTCAGTATGCATTTCCTGTTGAATTTTGAGTATTACCTCTTCCCCCTCTCCTCCCCCCCTTGTTGTGGCTAATTGCTCAGTTCTTTGTGAAGCAAAAGTACTATTTAGGTTTTAGAACATCTTCATTTAGTTTTATTTCTTCCCTTCATTGGGATGCCATTTTTTGTCTATTAAAGCCTGATTGCCTGTTCTCTATTGTTTTTCTTTACCATTCTACTGCTCCTGTTTGTGGAGCTCTGTTCTCCTGGGCCTCCTAACTGGAGAACTGCTCCTTCAGTATCAACTTTAGTGGCTCCTTTTCCCAACTCCTTCGCGCATTCAGGTCCTTCTTTAAACACTCTCCGGGGTTCAACCCTCTCCTCTTTTTATCTCTTGGTGATCTCATCCTCTTGCATGGTTTCAGCAACCACCTCCAGACAGATAGGTCCTCAATTCACACGATCACCCCCCTCTGTCCAGCAGTGCATCTTCAGCTGTACTGCTCACTAATCAAAAACAGTCTCCAAAACGGAACTTCTTTCTCATCTTGAAAGCTCTTCTAACCTTCTTGTCTCAGATTCTGAACCTGTTACCTCTGACTTTCTTCTTCGTCTCATCCCCATAACCACCATCATGGAGTTCTGGCACTTTCCTTTTCAGTATCACTACAATCTGCTCATTCTTCATTATGCCTGCTGTTGAGACCCTTGTCCAGGCCTTGTTGATCTGTTGGCTTGATTACAGCTCTGTTTGCTGTGTTGGGCAATCCAGGTTTGCTCTCCATGGAGTTCTAGTTCTCATCCAACACACACCGTCTCTTTTTCCTCCTTGATACTTCTTCAAATCATGTTTTACCAAGACACCAGGCCCTCTGATCTCTGAAGAACACTTCAGTGCAGCAGACTTCATCTGGTTTATTTTTACTCCAGTTATTCTAGAAACTAGTATTTGAATAAGAGCTCTTTCTCCAATAAGCAATCTCCTGCTTAATTCTTCAATGAAGTTTTATGTAGGTGTTTGATGCTGCACTGTTGCCATGTGGGTTGTGAGGTTGTAAATTCTAAAATGGACCACAAGGAGCCTTTGTTTAATCATAAATATAAATATCATATTTAACAAAAGGAACTAGGAAATCATAAATAGCATGTGCAGGTATAAGTGCATTTTGTTTTTATGGGATTGTTTTCAGTGTGTGGTATATTTGGAGTTGAAGGTATATTACTGCCATTGTAGTTGGTGGAGATACACTAGTACATAAGAGAGGAGAATTGGGTTAGGAGATACCCATTTACTTTTACCAAACGCTCATTTATATTTCAGATGCTAGTTACCTTCTGATTCTGCATGGTAGAAAGATTCCATGTTGATAACCGTGTATACATTATTCCTATAAATAAGCAGGTACTCTCTTATGGGTACATATTTAATTCTAACTCCCAGTTATACTGTTTCCTGTATTTGCCTAGGTTCTCCATTAACATCTCTTGATTTTTGGTGCACAAGATGGGTTGGGAAACTATTTAAAGTATTTTTAAATTGAATAAATGTATTCTCTCTTCTGTGGTTCTGCCAATTCTTTGTACACGGTGTACTTAAAGTATCACAATCTCTGCCATAATAGATACGGTAATTCAATCTTCAGCTGTGTTAATTCTTTCCTGAACAGGCCAAGTGTGCCGAGTTCCGCTGCATTAACAGAGCAGTCATGTTATGTGGACCTGTTTCCTCTGGGGAGTGGATTTGTACCACCTGATCTCTTTCCCTGGAAATGCAGGTTGAAAAACTTGAAGGTGTTTGAGATAGTAAAAATATGGGGTTTCACCTGTATTCAGACAAATTCTGGCTTGCACTGTGCCAGTGCGCCAGGCCTAAAATGCAACAGAAACGCCAGAACAGCGGAGGAGTCAACTCCACGTCTCCTGTGCTGTGTGATGCAGAGCTCTGCTGTGATCAGGTGCTGCTCATCACAGAGGAGTAATGTTGATGGGCCAAGGGTGTGGCCAAGTGGTTCTATGCACGTTGTAGACCCACTGTCCCTAAACTCTTAAACTGAGGGCACAGGCAGCCTGCATCTGCTGCTTCTTGCGGCAGCCAGTAGTGGTGCTTGTGGCCTAGCAGTGCAGGTACCAGGGACCTTTCTGGCAGAGTGAAAGGAGGAGTGTGTGTTTTTCACCACTCCCTCTGCCCCAACCCCAGCGTGTTTTCCACGGGTAATTAAGGTTTTGCTCGCAGCACCCGTATTTGGCTCTTGGCCTTTTAGAGCCCTTGAAAAAAGAACAATACTTTTACAAATTTACCATATTTTAATATATGATGCAAATATGCTAACTTTGCCTATCTATGTTCATATGTGCACCTGCAGTTTTATATTTGTATATGTAAATTTGTATAGGGAAGCTAATCCCTTTTTTACAGCTATTGCAAATGTTTGTAGAAAGATGAAAGTGTGTTTATGCATATATGCACTGATGAGTTACTGTTAGAGCTGTAGAGCACTATGGCTTATGCTTTTTTCTCTTTCACAGAAATTACCTATTACAATATGGACACGAGTAAAAAGACAGAACCCCCTGTGTCTGTAGAAATGGTACAACAAAGGGCGAACCCTGATCACGCTCCTGGATCAATTTACGTTCCAGAACAAGGTGGTTACAAAGAGAAATTCGTAAATACAGTGGAGGACAAGTATAAATGTGAAAAGTGTCATCTCATATTGTGCAATCCTAAACAGACGGAATGTGGACACAGATTCTGTGAAACCTGCATTAATGCATTGTTAAGGTGTGTGTTTCTTAGTATGTTAAAAATGTTAATATGATTGAAAAATTCTGACCTTCTGAAACAGGTTAAACAAATGTCTATTTTTCCATCTTGTCTTGAATGTAAAAAATTTTTGAGCAATTTGAAGATTATAGGGCCTGAGATGAAGAATGCAAAATATCTAATTAATTTTCCATTAATTTATTTTTTCATGAGAATGCTGAGTTATGCAACTATTCATGGTAACATGAGAATAAAAATGCAGCTGTTCTCTTTAAAAAGTAAAAAAAAAAAAAAAATAATAAAAATCTAGCTTTTTAGTAGTACCTGGCAATTTCAATACGTTTCATTTGAATCTCAGCTCTGATACATTGCTGCTGATAGTATTCGGTACACATTAGTTTGAGTTTTGAAATAACAATAAATGCATAGCACTTAGCATGTTCAAAATATTGCACAAACTTTAATCCAAGCTGCACACCTGTGGAGTAGATATTTAATAATATCTCTTTTTATTGATGGGGAAACTTGCAGCAGAGGAAAGAAGTGACTTTCCCCAGACCACCTCCTTCATCAGGAACAGAGCAGAGACAAAATTTGGGAATTTTCTTCCCTCTACTTATTCCCCATAACCATTCTGGCTCTGTGTATGCAACAGACTATATTTCATTGTGGAAATATAGCATTGTTTCAGAGGTTGAGTGTGCAAGGCTAGTGGAGTTAGATATGTTTAAGTAACACATCCTTTTCTCTCTCCTATTCAGTGCATCACATTTATAATAGGAAAAATAGAGTTGTTGTGATACGTATATTATTTTCTGATAAATTGCTGTTTGTGCCAAGAAATCTAGTAATTTTTCTGAATATACATTTTTAGGAAGCAGTCGTCTGTGGTTAATAAGAGGTATTAGTTACAAATATTTCACATCCACTGTCAACATACAGCTAAGAACACACGGATTATATGCTAGTGAGCTGTGCACTCTCAGGGTCATCTGAGGAGAAACTTCAGTGAAACTATCTGCTCAGGATGCAGCAGTAGTTTAAAAGAGCAAATAGGATGCTTGAGTGAGTTCAATAAAAGCTAGAAAATGATGAAATTGTATCACACAGTATACACCCTCGTGGAATACCGACTCCAATTTTGTTCTCTTTGCCTTAAGAAAAATATTGAGGCTATTGAAGCCGTGAGGCAATGAAGATACTCTGAAGCATGTTGAGATTTACATACCATGTGCAATAACAAGGAGTAGGATTAGTTAATTGGGACGGGGTGGGATTTGATTGGAATATTCAACCTGTGAATGACGGCGACAGTTGATCAGTCATTCCTTTACAGTGACCCATAATATTAACAACAGCAATAACTTATTTATACTGTATAAGTCACTTTATAAAAATAGAATAATTTAGCTGTTATACAAGAGATTACAATCCAAACACAAATAAAGGCAACTAAGGGAAGGAATAGGGATTAATAATCGAGGGAAGATTAGTGGGAGACGTGACGGGGTGGGGGGAGGGATATGAGGTAAACTTAGGTTTCCTTGAAATAATATTTCATGGCCTATATAATCATGCTGTAGAAATCACTGACATAGGAGGTTGAGTCAAATTATGCCTGGATTTTTAAAAAGAGCTAGGTATATAATAGACACTAATAATCTTTGTGTATGCATGCTGAAATACTGAGAGGTAACCAGAGCTGCTGGATCAGGTGTGCTGTAGAAGCTAGGAACAGATGTTATTTTTTCCATGTAAAGCATTGAACAATTGGCTGGAAACATTATGGTGTGGGGTTTTTTTGTTTTTTTTCCCCCTTCCTCTGGAATGCCAGGTACAGTCCCCAGGCTGAATGGACCAATGGTTTCATCCATTATGGCTGTTCATATTGTTCCCATAATTTATGGTGTATAAACACATCTAAATTGCTCTTTGTATTTTATGAAGAAATAAGTAGATGTTTAAAATGACTATATTCAAGGCAAGAAAGTATTATTTGGTGCTTTTTAAAGATGGAAAAATCCTGGCAGACGAAGTCTGTACTTCATTTTATGCTGCTATTAAATAAGGGTTTTTTTATTCGTTAAAAATGAATTTTCCATTGTAAGTGGAACCTGAATTTAACTGTTTACTCAGTTTTCAAATTCTCTTGAAGGATTACTTTATATTTTGTTTTCTTTAATGTTAGCAGCATTTGTTGTTCCATTTGATTCTATACTAACTTTCATTGAGCCATACCTTCTTAATCATTAACCTTTTTAAATACTTGGAGCAATTATAATTAAACAAGACGCCTTTGATTTACTAGCACCAATCTAAAATCTGATAAATACAGAAGATTCAAAGTGGAATAGAAAATAATTTGTCTATTTTCTCTCTCCAGTTCTTCTAGTCCAAAATGTACAGCGTGTCAAGAGAACATAGTTAAAGATAAGGTATTGTTGTTAAAATAGTCTCTTATTCCTAATATTCAGTTGCTATGATTTATTTAAAATGTTTTTCTGCTTTACAGAATCCTTTTTAAAGTGTTTTAGTACTGTTTCTTGGGGAAAAATGTTATTGTGCAATTTGAACCTAGTATGTCTTATAGCATGACAAAGTAGTAACCATACAGGATTGGAAGCCTTTATGCCTGTCGATCACGATCGACTGGTTGATCTTGGAGGCTCTGCCATTAGATTGCGATCTCTGGGCAGCTAAGTTTCCTCCAATCCTGACCGAACGGCCCTGAGTTCCTCCAAGCTTGCCTGAGTGCCACTGCAGGTGAATCAGTCGAGGAGCTCAGTTCAATCAGGCAGGTTGCCTGTCTGCTGTGGCCCCACTCTGCTCCCAGAAGCGGCTGGCTGCTGGCATGTCTCTCTGACCCCTGGAGGGGAAAGGGGCAGTGGGTCTCTGTGCGCTGCCCACTCTTGCAAGCACCGCCCCCGCAGTTCCCATTGTCCGGGAACCAAGCTGCAGGGACAGTGCTGGGGACAACACACGGAGACCCCCCCCTCCCCCGCGTCCCCCAGGGCCACAGAGAAGTGCCAGCAGCCAGCCGCTTCCAGGAGCAGCATGGGGCCACGGCAAGCAAGCAGCCTGCCTGAGCCCCGCTGCGCCGCCTACCGGGAGCTGCCTGTGTTAAGTGCCTCCCTGCCGGAGCCTGCACCTCACAGCCCCTCCCACACCCCAAGGCCCTGCCCCAGCCCGGAGCCCCCTCCTGAATCCAAACTCCCTCCTTCACCCCAACACTCTGCCACAGCTCAGAGCTCCCTCTTGCACCCAAGCTACCTCCCAGAGCCCACACCCCTCACCCCCCACCCCCTCCTGCACCCCAAGCCCCTGAACCATCTCGGAGCCCCCTTCTGCACCAAACTCCCCCCAGAGCCCACCCCCCTCACCCTCTCCTGCAACCCAACACTGTGCCCCAGGCTCAGCCAATGCATACCCCACAGTTGAGAATGTTACACTAATTTGTGACAATCCCTGAAGGATTTTGGATCTGTAAATCACAAATGACACTAATAAAAAGTAAAACTCATGAAATGTCCAGTGGATTCTGTGAGATTAGGTGCAGTGTGACCATATGACCCTTGCACCCAAACTCCCTCCCAGACCTTGTATTCCTCATTCCTGCACTCCAATTCCCTGTCCCAGGCTCAGCCCAGAGCCCCCTCCTGCACCCCTGTTCCAGCCCGGTGAAAGTGAATGAGGGTGGGGGACAGTGAGTGATGGAGGGAGCAAGGAATGGAGTGATGGGACGGGGCCCTGGGGAAGGGGCGGGGTAGATCCTGGGTTGATCTTAAATTCAAAAAGTGATCTTGTGCATAAAAAGGTTGGAGACCACTCCTTTACATGCACGGTTAAGAAGGTTATTTCATTGACATCCTTTTTTCCATTTTTTTCACCCACACTTTAAACAGGGTCTTGACTATGTAATGTTTCATCAGTGTAAAGAACGTTCTTTTTAGATAGTAATGACCATTTACTCGGTTCTGACACCTTGATTATCAAAGCTTTGAGATGAGTTCTATACTGATGTAGATACTCCCTTACTCTCGAGAGAGATGTTGGGTATATCAATCTCTCCGTAGCCTTTTCACAAAATTGTTCTCTTCCAGGAAGCAGAGAGCTCTGTGGAGTGCTGTGTTGTAGGCAGTGTAGCTAACTATACAGGGTATCTTCCTACCACTGCGACCCCTTAGTAGAAACACATCTGTTACACTTAGGTTTAGGTCTTCCGCAGTGGCTTTCCTCCTATTTAATGACATCTATATCCAATTTTCTGTATTTATAAGTTAAATCAGATTTTTATTTTTTATTTTTAAAATAGCTTTTGTGTTAGACTCTGTTCGTCTTGTTACCTCATCCCTACAGTCATTCTGTTTTGTGTATCATAGAGATTATGAGGTGTCTGGGGCAGGGATTGTCATCTGTTACTTCTCTGAACAGTGCCAAGCACAGTGGGGCTGTTCTGGGTAGTTGCTGCTGTCAGACAGATGATTTATAATAATAATAAAAATGTCCAGCCAGGTCATCACCTTAATGTAACATTCCCCGTTATCTCTCCCGCCTAAAAAACCCCAGACAGACAGACACCTGGCAATATATGCTGGGAAACCTCAAATACCTTCAACTTTTCCTACCAGCACAGGAGGAGGAAACTAAGGAGAATGTGGATTATTGAACACATACCAGACTTACTGTGCAAGTCAGTTGACTATTTTCTGTAAAACTGAAATTCCACGCTAACTTCTGCTTTTCACAAAATGGAGCAGCCCAAAGGCTTTTACAGAACTGTCGAAACACCTTGTAAAATTATTCAAAAATCTCATTCCATTATCTTTATTATGATATGCAAAACTGCAGCCTCTTTAGAATCATAGAATCATAGAATATAAGGGTTGGAAGGGACCCCAGAAGGTCATCTAGTCCAACCCCCTGCTCGAAGCAGGACCAATTCCCAGTTAAATCAAATTAAATTGTTTATGAATTATTTTGAAAAAAAAAATTGCAAAAATCCATGTTACATAGATTATTTGTGTGAGGAAAAAGTGCCAGCTCATTAAACTTAACTTGGTGTCCGAAAAGCATACAAAACTCTTTCTGCTTCCTCTAACTACCGCAGTGAAGATTCTGTGATCAGAATTTTGCTTTAATTTTATTACTGTTGCAATAGGCAAAATAATTTTCATGCAACTACAGTAGAACCTCAGAGTTAGAAACACTCGAGAATGGAGGTTGTTCATAACTCTGAAATGTTCAGCACTCTGAACAAAATGTTATGGTTGCCCTTTCAAAAGTTTACAACTGAACGTTGACTTAATACAGCTTTGAAACTTTACTATGCAGAAGAAAAATGCAGCTTTGGCTTTATTTTTTTTAGTAGTTGATGTTTAACACAGCTCTGTACTGTATTTGCTGCTCTTTTTTTTTTTTTTTTTTTCGGTCTTGTCTCTGCTGCTGCTTGATTGTGTACTTCCAGTTCCAAATGAGGGGTGGGGTTGACTGATCAGTTTATAATTCTGGTGTTCGTAACTTTGAAGTTCTACTGTATGTTATCTCTGCAGTGCTGACAGCATTATAAGCTTGCTTTCCCAGAAAAGTAGCCAGAGGTGTTGGCAAACTGCAACTGATTAAAAGATTGTACTCTTTTCTATTGGACTCAGAACTAGCCATAATTATCCGTGTATTCATGATCTCCAGACCTGCTTTATTGCAACTTGTATCTAGGAATGAAGCCACACCCTGTTTTCTGTTCTTTTTTAAAAATAGTCTCCATGGCATACAGTATAGCAACTTCTCTTATCAATTCAGATTGCTGTGAGCGTGTTGCTCTGATGCTTTCTTTCTGCCTTGTCTTCCAAGTGAACACAGATGTCACTTCACAGTCTCTATGGATGTTCAAAGCCCTTGATGGACTTGTTCCTGCTATCTGAGATGTCACCTCTCCCTCCATGACCCCCAACAACAGCTGTGTTCCACTGGGAATATGAAACTGTTGCCCAATAAGTAGAGGCTTGCAAGTGCAAGATACTGACCTTTCACAGGAGCCAACCTAAACTGTGGAACTCATATCTCTAAAAGACAGGAAAGACCACTGACATCGCTGTGTTAAGAACTAAATGCAAAAGTCATCTCTTTAATTTTAACAAAGCCTCATATGTTCTATATATGGACACACTAATGAAGCTATATCTTCAATAAAATAGGAAGGAAGAAAAAATAAGATTGTTTATTTGGATACTATGGTTTGGAGACACGTAAATATCTAAATAGATAAGTACCTGCCAAAAAGTTTAGACATTGCTTCACGATTGTCTGATTATTGCTGTTCTCTCTCTTCAGTTTTCTACAACTCAGTTCAATCCTTTGTGGTCTTTCTAACTGGGAGCTATCTGATCACTGTCTTGGCATATCTATTTTTATTGCTGGGCATGCTGTGCTCTGATGTATGCTTTGTTACTACATATAGGAGGCTCTCTTTTATTCTGTTTTAATCACTAAGTTCTTTCCTCATTTGCGAAAATTTGTTTTACCCCTAGTCTTTCCCCCAGCCTTGAGTGACTTAATTTCCCATTAAAAAAATAGCTTCTGTGGGTGAGAGAGACAAGCTTTCAAGCTTACACAGAGCTCTTGTATCTCTCTCCAACAAAAATTGGTCCAATATGATAAATAGAAAAATATTTAAAACTCAAAAAGTGGGAGTAGAGGAAGGCTTTCAGTCCTCTTTATATACCAGAAAGAATTTAAAAAAAAAAAAAGAGGCAGGCCCTATTTTTTTTTCTTTGTTAGGTTGCCTCACAGTCTGTGAATTGTGTGGTTTTTTTTCTGGTTTACAGTGTCAGTCAGCTCCCTGCACTCCGAGCCTGAATGAACTAATATTGCTATTGTGGAATTGTTTTTAAAAGTATTTTCACTTTATTTGAAGTTATGTTCTTAAACTGTTTTTAAATCTCTAAAGCAAAGTGGCTTCAAATTACAGGTATTTAAGGATAACTGCTGTAGGAGAGAGCTTCTTGCCCTTCAGATATATTGCAGAAATGAAAACAAAGGCTGCAATGAACTACTAATGCTGGCACAACTACTGGTAAGCACTGTGATGCCATCACAAGCTTTCTTTCAAATTAAAGAATGGGAAAATCTACAGAAGTCAACTTTAATCCACCTAGTTCCTGATTAATCAGTGATGTGAGCTAATCTGACTGTTTATAGAAGTTATCATAAATTGTGTTTTTGAAGCTCTACTTTTAATTGATCTGTCAAGAATCTTCGTCATAGACCAAAATTTTTGGTTTGGGCTGCCTAAAAATCCTTCAGCCGGAGTCCTGTGTTCTTAGTATCTATGAAAATCAGGCTACTTATTTAGGTGCCTAAACTTTAGACTCTCCGTTTGGAAAAGTTTGGCTATAATGTTCAGATTTTATAAGAGCAAATGTCACATTCTCATTTGGAAAACCTGTAACATGCAGTAGCTTTGCAGACCTGGAAGGCTGATATGTATGTGGTTTTTCACTGTGCTATTTTTTTGCTATTTCATATATTTTCTTTTTGAGTTTGAATTCCTGCTTGATATTTCATTGTTACCAGTTTTGGGCCTCTAATATAAAGGTTATTCCACTTATACTTGAAATTGTGATGCTTCTGGTACTTCTGAATATCTAAGATAATCTGAAATTTTGGCTCTTCAAGACATAACATAGCAGTCATCTGAGGGTCAGATTCTAACTTCAGAAATACGTATCTCAGTAAATCCATTACTGTGTAGACATGCACAACAGCGTTAGCAGATGTTCTGAGGTACAGCACGGTGCACATCTAAGATTAGACTCTGGTCCTGAGTTTATTTTGGGAGAGTTATCTTTCATGGGTATGATGAGAAGAAACATGTAAAATTTCATTAACTTGATTGTTTTATCTTACAGACGCATTTGAGAAATGACTGTCAGTTTGAAGAACTTTCATGCCACCGTGCTGATTGCAAGGAGAAAATACTGCGGAAGGACTTGCCAGACCATGTAGAAAAGACCTGTAAATATCGGGAGACTACATGTAAATACTGTAAAAGCCAAGTCCCAATGATTACATTACAGGTGCAGTGTTTTCTTCCATCACTAAAATCAGTAAATTACATGTAATGTAGAATGACCAATTTTCACGTTTCTTTTTCAGCAACCATCAGAGGTATTGGGCTTTCAGTCTTGTATAAGGCAAAATTTGCTTCAGCACTTTTCAATTCAAAAGGAAAATATTCTAACTGTGAAGATATATTTGCTGTCGAGGAAGTTGTCACAACCCAAGTGTAAATTAAATTGAACAGGAAACATTTGAACACCAGAAATTAAAAAAAAACCAAAAACTGTTTTTTTCTAAAGTACAGTCTTCACATGATGCAGGGAATAACTGCTACATTACAGTAATTTTTTGGCATACATTCTTCTATTCCATCCTATTTAAATTGGTATATTGTGCAAATCTACCATCCTAACAATATACCGTCAAGCAGGAGTATGTGTTTCAGAGGAATAGCACATTACCATTTTTCCTTTGTTTGGTGCCTGTGTCATCCAGAACAGCTTTACGTCACCTTTGCAGTTGTGCCAGGGAATTAGATACTCTTGTATAAGCTGGCAAGGAAGAAGGAAGAAAATGAACATAACATCAAATTCAATAATACCTACTGTCTCTGCATATCATGTACCATATGCAGTCATATTTAGAAAGCATTATTATTATTTTTGGCCCAAGAGTAGGGTGTCTGGTAAGCAGTGTGTTATAAGTGGGATAGAACTATAGGATAGAGATTGGGGCTACCATTATGGTCAAGTGGGGCAGAATTTGTGGTGGTTCAGTGGCTTGGATTTGTATGTATGTTATCGCACTCCTGCATCTTATGATATTGAGCCCCACTCTGATATATATTCACTGTGTTTATTTTTAATATATTTGTGCAATGTTTCCATGTCTACAGCTCCCTGGACCTCTTAGTGAATGGCTAGAACTTTCCACTTTCTAGTAATTATGTTCTTAGCTATTACTGTTAGATGACGACAAAGCTCACAAGGGTGTATTTGTGAAAATACAAAGCAAATATATGTATGTTAACAGGAGGCATTGGTGATTTATTTAATATGATTTGTATAGAGGCATCTTAGCCTCTAACACTGTAGGCATTACTATACGGAGACAAATATATAAATAAAATCTGGGAGAAAGGCATCAGAATCTCTATTGTGTATATACAACATCTGCCTTTCTCCCACATGTTTGTCCAGATTTAGTAAGTGATATGAACCAGTAGATGACTTTCTAAAATACTCGGGGGTCTACCCCGCAGTGACTGCCTAGGTTCATCTTTGGTACAGCTATCTTTCCGTATCTGTCCAGTACATTTAAGGGGTTCCTGTAAGCTGTGGCAGTGCAATCTTATTTTTATACAACTGGTCATTCCTTCTGTTCACTCAGCTCTCAAAACTGTTACGGGAAAACTTGAAAGTCTGCTATCTTTAGGCTTGAATTGTTGGGGATATGGCCAAATTGAAATGTCTAAAGCCATTCTGCACTTAATTTTTAGGGGTTAAGTATTGTGTCTGTAGAGTAAATCTTAGTGATTCTTTAAATATGTTCATACCAAATCCAGACTGGGTTCCTGAATATCTCATATTTTTTATTCAGGGAGCAGAAAAATTAAAAGGTCTAGTCTTATGAAAGTGAGATTTGAATAACAGAAGCAGAAGTTTCTCAGCTTCTCTTGGTGCATTTCCTGAAACAACTTAGTTATGCATTTTTGTCTATAATTATGTTATTAGACTTGAATCTTTCAAGAACTGTATTTTTATATTTTAATTCCTATCTTTAACAAGACCAACAGTTACTTTTGATTTACACATACTGTTTTCTGTAGTTCCAGGGGAAAAAAGGAAAAAATTTTGAGCAAGTATTTTCCCAAAAACTCGATAAAATGAGAGCATTCTTAAAAGTGTAACTTCATCAGAGACCATAGTATTTTTTCAGGGCCCACAAAGGGAATGCACTTCATACTAAATAAAGTTGTATACGGAGAGGTCTAATTTTACATCAGTGGTTCCCAAACTTTTATACTGGTGACCCCTTTCACATAGCAAGCCTCTGAGTGCGACCTCCCTCCCCCTTGTAAACTAAAAACACTTTTAAATATATTTAACACCATTGTAAATGCTGGAGGCAAAGCGGGGTTTGGGGTGGAGGCTGACAGCTCTCGACCCCCCCATGTAATAACCTCGTGACCTCCCCGAGGGGTCCTGACCCCCAGTTTGAGAACCCCGGTTTTACATGTAGTAAAAATCTGAGGTATTAGCCAGTCCTTTTCATATTTTGCTTCTTTATGAACTTCTTAACAAGAGCAAGTTTGTAAGTACAGTTCTTATGCCTGTACCAGCTGCTACTGTCCTGGACATTGAGATATCCCTGAGAAGTGTCTTGTCCCCATGAGAGCCTATGGTCACTAAGGTTTAGTTTCCAATTTGGTCTAATCACAGATGGTAGGACAAGCTAATTGAACAAATGGGAAAAATCTTCCCTTGCTTTTCAGCCAACATTTTATTTTAACAATCTGTAGATCTCAAATTAAAACTTTAAGTGCTTATCCTGGAGAATTGAAAGGCCCTGTAAGGTTAAAGGAGAGTGACAAGAGTTTTCGGATGTAGCAAGTGGTGTTATAGATGGCAAGCAAATGCTCTGTGATTAGTGTAGGGGAAGGCAAAAACGTTTCCTGAAGCACTGAAGCATAAAAAGGGGAGAGCAGGAACCTTTGTAGAGTTAGACCAATGCCTGCTTGTTGTAGCAGATCAGCAAATCAAAAGTGTTAGGTGTTCCTATATTCAAAATATTAATGAAACTAATAATTTGCAACATAGGACCAGCTTCCAATCATAGTGGTTTTGGTGTTTCAGGGGCGCAACAATAGCCACAGCATTAATATCCTGGAGGAGCAGAGATCAGCCACTGATCATGCCATAAAACAACAATGCCTACATTCTTTTAAAAGCCTGGAAGAATGTAGTGTGTGAGATTATACAAATGCTGATAAATTTGGGTTTATTTTGGAATATTACCTGACTATACTTGAGTACCAAGACTTAGTCTGGTTGTAACCAGACCACTCAGTTAGATGAAAGAAAGATTTGCTTTGTGTAGTCCATCTGCTCACCCTGAGCTTAAGTTCATCTCTGTTGGCCTGTGCAGACCATCAGGTTTTTAAGCACATTAATAAGTCAGGCAGGCATTTCAGGGACTTGAACAGAAAATGAAAAGCAGCACAAACATTTTTTCGAGGCTGTACAAAGAAAAAAACCAAAGGTATGCAAATGGAAACAAAAATAATTTTTCTTGTTTCATGTGTGGTTCATGTCTTCATAGAATCTGCCTGCTCTGCAGCGTAGGAAATCCCCTTTATGGCTGACAGACTATTTAGATAGTGATATGGACTTGCAATTAAAATTTTAAAAAGCACAAGTATTTGTCTAGTCTATACTGCAATGCTTTATCTCTCTAGGTGAATTCATTTCTAAATGCAATTTTATTTCATTTTATTTGAAGCAAACATAAAGCTTTTGGTACAATGCAATGTATTCCACGGTCCAGTGTGTCTTTCTGGCAGACAAAATGCTCATTCTTCAAAGCAAAAACAGAAGTGAAAATTGTATTTTATTATTAAAGAATCAAAGTATTATACAGAAAAAGAGAATTTTTAAAATTGTTATAAAATGGGTTTGCATGCTGCTTTTGCTATTCTGAAAACCTTGTTATCCTAGCCTGATTTAAGGCAAGATTATGTGCAACCTGCATCTCACATCATATGGAAGAGTTGAGAGCAGCTTCCATGGAGAGTGGGTGCCTAGGGATGAGGAATGAGCTCTTCTGGTCAGAATGGAAGTAGTAGTATTCTACTCCTGGAATAGGGGCCAAAATCAAATGCATGTTGAAGTCATTGGAAAGACTCTCATTGCTTTCAGGGAGCACAGATTTGGGCCATGAACCAGTAGCGGATTACTCACCTCCTGAAGCAAGGGGGGAAACCAGAGAATTGTCAGTGATTTACATGGTGCCCTTTACTGTGGGCTACGAGTAAACTTTCAGTCTATCCCTTAGTCTTTCAGACCTGTCTGACATAGTGAGAAATGGATGTAAATTAGGAGATGAACACAAAAAATGCACTGTGGTTTGATCAAAAGGAGCTTTAAATAAGCTTAAGTATTTTGATGTATAGTGCAAGAATTCAGTATCAAATGGTAAAGAGACTCAAAATTAAAGGATAATCAAAAGAGTGAATACCAGTATATGGATTTACAGGGTTCTCTGACATTCAGAAGCATAAATAAGTATAAAGCATAAAGTATTCTTGTCAGCAAGTTAAAGAAGTATGGGCTGGATGAAAGGACTGTAAGGTGGATAGAAACCTGGCTAGATCGTCGGGCTCAATGGGTAGTGATCAATGGCTCCATGTCTAGTTGGCAGCCGGTATCAAACAGAGTGCCCCAAGGGTCTGTCCTGGGGATGGTTTTGTTCAATATCTTCATTAATGTTCTGGAGGATGGCGTGGGCTGCACCCTCAGCAAGTTTGCAGATGACACTAAACTGGGAGGAGAGGTGGATATGTTGGAGGGTAGGGATAGGATACAGAGGGACCTAGACAAATTAGAGGTTTGGGCCAAAAGAAATCTGATGAGGTTCAACAAGGACAAGTGCAGAGTCCTGCACTTGGGACAGAAGACTCCCATGAACTACTACAGACTAGGGACCAAATGACTAGGCAGCAGTTCTGCAGAAAAGGACCTCGGAGTTACAGTGGACAAGAAGCTGGGTATGCGTCAACAGTGTGCCCTTGTTGCCAAGAAGGCTAACGGCATTTTGCGCTGAATAAGTAGGGGAATTGCCAGCAGATCGAGGGACGTGATCATTCTCCTCTATTCGACAGTACAAGAAGGATGTGGAAAAATTGGCAAGAGTCCAGTGGAGGGCAACAGAAATGATTAGGGGGCTGAAGAACATGACTTATGAGGAGAGGCTGAGGGAACTGGGATTGTTCATTCTGCAGAAGAGAAGAATGAGGTGGGATTTGATAGCTGCTTTCAACTACCTGAAAGGGGGTTCCAAAGAGGATGGATCTAGACTGTTCTCAGTGGTAGCAGATGACAGAAGAAGGAGTAATGGTCTCAAGTTGCCGTGGGGGAGGTTTAGGTTGGATATTAGGGAAAACTTTTTCACTAGGAGGGTGGTGAAGCACTGGAATGGGCACCTAGGGAGGTGGTGGAATCTCCTTCCTTAGAAGTTTTCAAGGTCAGGCTTGACAAAGCCCTGGCTGGGATGATTTAGTTGGGGTCTGGTCCTGCTTTGAGCAGAGGGTTGGACTAGATGACCTCCTGAGGTCCCTTCCAACACTGATATTCTATGATAAACATCTGAAGAGCTTTCCAATGCACTGTATGGTGGTATTGGAAGGAATATCGTCTTGGCAATTATCCTCTTTTCCAATAATGTGCACTCCCCTACATGCTTCGTGGGATAGAGAACTTTGATTTTATTGAGGTTTTATTGATAAAGGATGATGTAAACTGCTCTTCTTTCCACAGGAAAATATGATAAATCCCTTATTTTTCTGAATCAAAAACAGTTGAGAAATACATATCAACTGAAAACGTAACATCTGTGTTTGTTCTTTCCATACATTGTACAAACACGAAGTAGCCATGTTAACTGTACTGCTCACTGTATAGCACCATGTGAATATATATTTTTAATTACAGCATGGTAAGTTACTTCTTTTTTCAGGCAAGTCCTGTTATAAAATGGTTTGTAATTTTAAATATTGATAAAGTATAAATTGTAATTTGCCTTTTTTCTTTTCTTTTAGAAACATGAAGATACAGACTGTCCCTCTGTCGCGGTTTCATGTCCTCATAAATGCAGTGTTACATCACTCTTGAGAAGGGAGGTAAGAAGTCATGCCCAGAGTTGTGCTAAAAATTAAATAAATCCCTGTTCAACAGTGTTCACCTTAGAACTTTGTTGTTAGTAAGATCTCGCAAGAATTTTGCCAGAAGCCATTTCCTTATTACGATGTGAGATCTAAAGAAAAGGCTTATCTACCACTACAGTTAAGTGTGATAATTTTTTAATAATTTTTTTAGTGATTTCTTAGGAAATTATATTTCAGAAATTACTTCCTTAATTTTCTGTATTTATTACACATGGTTTGTCAAAAAAGATTAGCTTTTATCTCTCTTAATGAAAACTGAGTTAGAAGCACTTATTGAGGCCAGTAGAGCAGAACTTTTGGGTAGTGTTAGGCAGCATGTATTCTTCAAGTCTCAATATTGAAATAGAATGATAAATCTAAAATATAGTAGCATATACTGACATTAGACATCATATAGCATATAAACCAGAGGTACATCCTGACCTTAAATGCTGTTTTGATTTTGGTGTCCTCATCTCAGAAAAGATCATAGCAGATATTGAACAGCTGTTGTGTGGAGTTGGTCCATGCAAGAGATTAAAAATATTGTTAGGACTGTTAAATTCGCAAAGGAGAATAAAGGGCCTGACACTTAGATGTCATGGTGGTATAGATGCTTTAGAAATATTTCAGTTAAACCGATTTAGCTGATGCTTAGTCAGCTAAATGTATACTCAATACGAGGACAAGAGGGCACTTTTGATTAAATAAAGAGGCACCAAGTTTAAATCATCTAAAAGGAAACACTGTGAAACTCACTGCCACAGGATAAATGTTAAGTAAATAGTTTAATCTTATTCAAGAAAGGATTTAATATTTAGTGTCTGTATTTCATACGATTGGGATAAAATTACTGCTTTATGGTAAAATTTACCAGTAACTGAGATAAAGAAGAAATTTCCTCTTGACGTTTGCTATTGCTATAGTGTAAATGGACCATTGGTCTGTTCCAGTATGGCATGTCCTGTGATCAGGTGCAACAGGCTACTAAAGCTTCTAACATATGTAGAAAATTCAGTTAATATTTTGAGCCGGTAAATTTCTTTTGTATCTTGTGGTGTTTGAATGTATTCCTTTATTTGATCCAGTATTAGTAGTATCTGTAAAGGCTGATGTGCATATTTTTCTAAAAATAAATCCTTTTGTATGATCTAGAATGGGGAGCACATATTTGTCTCCAGCACTCCTTAAAATATTGTCATTTTTTTTAAACTCATTTTTGAGGTATCTTTTTTTCACTGATAACCCAAAAAATCTAATGGAGTATGTTCTCCTGACATAGGAATACATCATTTTAGTGTTACAGTAAGTGAGTAATCATATTTAGTGCCCAAAGCGTGCCAGGTACTTTCCAACTCTGTCTGCCCCAAGGAATGTGCAATCTAAAATGTATACTAGGCCTTGTGCATTATTAATAAACATTATGCTCTTGAGAAGATGATCTAGGCATCTGTCTAATAATATAAGTGGAGAGCCACCTTTGGGGCTCAGTTCTGCCAGTATATATTAACCAATTGAGATCCTGATTCAGGAAAGCACTCCTTCTCATAACAACACCTATACATGTTCTTAAATCCTACTGAAGTCAATAAGAAATGCTTAATTGCTGTCCTGAGTAGTGAGGGACTTAAGAATGAAGTCCTTACTACTGTGAATTGTCCCATTAAAAACAATAGGTCAACTCACATCAATAAGCACAAGTCTTGATGCGAAGGGTTGGAGGAATTGGATTCTAAAAGTTGTTGGTAGGGTTGGATTTTAACCAGCTGCCATCTTGCCCTGCATCATTCTAAGGTGATATAGGCAAATGCCTGCCTAACAGTTTGGCACAATACACGACTTTCTCATTCTCAATAGCGTACAAAAAGTGAAAATGATATCTTATAGAATAATCGCAACTCTTAATATGTGTGAATGGTTACTGGTTGACACAGTCCTTAGTTCTGAGGAGGTGAAAGAAGCCGTGCCCCCCCCCTCCCCCCGAAATCTTGTATAGCACATGTACTTTTTCTTACCTGATTTTTTTTTTTTTTTCTGAAATGTTTCTTTTGAACTTTCATTGTGAATTTCTACAGCAAGTTGTTAAAACAAAGTAGATGTTGCATATGCCAGGGGGGGATGAGTTAAGCATCTCAAAATTAGATTTGAAAACCCTTGTTTCTTTAGCACCACAGTTTCATATGCAGGCAGGATCAGTTCAGGCCTTTTCTGGAGGTGGATGAATTGAGGACCAGAGGGCTTACTGTGTGCAGGTCTTTTTAAATATCTTGAACTCAGTGGAGGTATAAGAGTTTACACCAGGTGAGGATCTGGCCCCTAGGTCCTCTCTGCTCTGTATGGAAATAAAGATCTTAAGGCACTTGTCAGAAGAGATGAGGTTTGTCATGGTGTCCTTTACAAAATGGCCCTTCATTCCAGCTCTTAGGCTGTTTGCATCATTCTGCTGCCCTGTCCCCTAAAAACGGCTGCATTTCATTATGGCTCTGTGTATATACTTCTGTGATTTTATTTTAAAGGACAAATTATTTTCTGTGTTTATCATTCAGAATATTGGATCTGTGCAAAATACAGGCCTTTTCCTATTTTAAAGCATTGAATCCTGTGTACTGCATTATAAATGTGACTCAACTGCACCCTGGTATAAAGTATTTGTCTGTTTCATGCAGTATTTGTTTACAGTCTTCATTGTTTAGTTTTGTTTTATTTTAAATTCTGATATTGAGAATTGCATGTCATGTTTTGACAATCTGTTCCTAATGAAACTAGAGTTAGAAAAGGCGTATGTTACTACAGTGAAACTGGTCTTAAGTGACTACCCAACAGACCAGCAAAAATCATTTGTCAAGTAAAGATTGACCTTTAATTAAAGTCAAACAAAAATGTATGGAAAGCCTTGGGTTTCTTTAAAGTGGCATTTTTTTTTAATGGGGTTGCCTACAGGAATGGTCTTCAGTGGATGTTTCACTGTATATTAAATGTGTCTCTGTATATTGTATTGGCATGTGCGTGTGGTTACATGTGTATATACAGTTTATGCACTCTGAGTAAGAGTGGAGATAATATGCACACATGTACTGTATGTTTTACAAATGGCACACAATACAAATCTGATAATCTGTGCCCTTTATATGTTCTGAGCATTATCATGCAAACGTTTTCTGCCAAAACTCACATTTTTTTCCTATTGCAGTTGAATGCACATTTGTCAGAATGTATTAATGCCCCAAGTACCTGTAGTTTTAAGCGTTATGGCTGCACTTTTCAGGTCAGTATATAACAATTATACTTCCCAATTGATGAAAGTCTGCAATAAGAAAATTTAACATTTTGACGTGAAAGTTCTGGACTTCTCTACTCTTGGTTAAGAAACATTCATCCAGTTGCATGAGTGATTAAGACTATGCAGCAGGTGTTCGTTTTTGCATATATTTTTATATATATAAAATTATAAAAAGCACATACACATACTGGCGATATCTTGGGATTTCAGTTAGCCAGTTACAGATGTCTGAGATCAGAAGATGATATTACATTAAAAACTTTAACTTTTCTCTTCTTTGAAATAAGAGAAAAATAGTCATTTTTTTTCTCTCCACAAGCTGTCTAGTAATTTCAGCTGTTCTATGGAAGTTATTTAATTTTTTCCCAAATTAAATTTAATTTCTTCTGTTTGCGCCTGTGAATATATATGATGTGATTAAAAATAGGTTGGCCCACTTAGAATGTTTGTTTTATGTACATTCATATATACATATGTATATATGTGTGTGTATGCCTATAGGTGCATGGTCAAATCGCAGCATAGAATTAATAAAAATTGTAGATTAAATCCTAGAAGTCACCACAAAGTAAGAAAAAACTTTGTGTAGTTTCAACACTGTTATTTCCATATTTGCAATATCTTACTTTTCATACCATGCATCTGAGAGTGTCAGCGAATTCTGACAGTTTTACAGTAAAAATTTAAAAGCTGCTGACAGGAAAAACGGAATTTATCAAATTAAATGCCATAATTTTGAAGCTCACTGTGACCTATGAAACTAGATTTTTGTGTACATGTGCAATCTCTGTGCAACACTCCTATAAACCTTCTTTCCCATTGATATCTCAAGGCCTGTTTTAAGTCTCATTGAAGTCAGAGAGTCTTTTCCCATTAACATCAAAGGACTTTTGATCAGTCCCTTAATATTCTGCCAGTGTAAAAAAGAAAGCATTCAACAATTTAAACACAAAAAGTACAGTTCCTCTCTCAACTGTAGAAATAATTAATGATGTAGCACTGCCCACTGTTATGTCTTACGTATCACTGTTCATTCTTTTTATGTATGTATATGTGTGTATATATGTACATATATCCACATATATATTTTTGAATATTTTATATAGAGTATATACATTGAAGATCATTGAAACTTTTCCAGTTGCTTGCAACATATCTAACATCTAAACAGATATAAAATGTTTTGCAAAATATTTGCTGAAGTATAGCGTGAAGTAGAAGGTAACATGATCTGCATCTTATGTACTCTGTATATTATCTATGTGTGTTTTGTAAACTTACAGTGGTTATTTGTACCAACATTTGCAGATTGTGAGGGGGCAGGAAATCTGAACATCATAAAGCAACAATGGATGTGTCTTGCTAACTTTCTATAATGGCAAATTAGCCACTGTAAACTATTTTAGTTGACAGATTCTACAAAGTTGGCAGTTTCCAGTGATGATAAATGTACCTTAACTGTTTTTCTTTCATATTCACATCAATGGAAACTTTACAGTAATTTATAAAATGGTTAAAGCTATATTTGTGGAATCAGATGTTTGAGTTATGTGACTTGTTTTCTGATTTATTTATTATAAAAGTTTCTAGAGATGGTTCTAAACAATTAATTTTGTAAATCTTTTCTCCACTTTTGTTTCCTCTGATAAATAAGTACAATGGAAATATACAGCAGTTGGATAAAACACTTGTTTTTAAATGTATCTCTCACTTCTTTCATAAGTTCCCAAGTAGATTTCCACTCTATTTATATTTTTTATAAAGTACATCTGTGTACCAAAATATATGTAGTGCTGGTTTTATAGTCTTGTGTTATATTATTGGTTTTTTTAAAAAAGTGAAATTGGCTAAAATGTATAAATTCTTTGTTGTCACAGGGAACAAATCAGCAAATTAAAGCACATGAAGCCAGCTCAGCAGTGCAGCATGTAAATTTATTGAAAGAATGGAGTAATTCTCTAGAAAATAAGGTATATCTTCTACTCACTTTAATTTTCATTAATTTTTTTAAATTCTATAAAAATAGAGGAAAACACTTTTGTTCAGAAGCTGTTTGGAAATACAGCTAAACCACTAGTAGGCTCAAAAAGCGGTAAAATGAGTCAGTGTAACATCAATTTTATTACAATAAAAGAAGAAAATTGGCTTCACGAATAAATATGTAATTTTTATTCACGTGTTGCTATGAATTTAGTATTTTAATATTTAAGTTATCAAACCAGCTGACATTAAATTTCTCCTTCAATCCCTTTTTCTTATGAAAGAGACGGTTAGGAAAAGTACTGCAATGTTAGGAGCTGCATCTACCTGTGTATTTTTCTGGAGATCAGATCCTGGAAAACTCCACATACTGAACCGGCTTCATTTTTATTTTAAATTTATCAAGAGCTCTCCAAGCTTCTTGGCCTGAAGAGACTTTTATTAATTGACATTCTGTGTTACTCTCAGGCAGGCTGGTTTCTGTTCTGATGCTGGATCTAACTAAGTTCTCATTGTGCAATGCTCCCTTGGAACTCTTGTCTTTAAAAGAGTTTTGGGGACTTAGGGGAATTTATTGGGAGACAAGGTGCGGCAGATCACCTCACTAACAGCTTCAAGTCCTTTGAATGACTTAATTTAGAGCATTTAAAGCAGGCCTTTCGTAGGCTTTGACTTCAAAATATGTGTCAATGCTGCACCCAATCAATAGTGAAATGAGGCAACCCATTTTAAAGTGACAGGTCTTAAGAGGGTCAGTGTTTTAAATAAAAACATTATTTTGATGGCTTAACCAAATACTGAATTACTTTTAATCCGATGGTTTCAGAGTAGCAGCCATGTTAGTCTGTATCCGCAAAAAGAAAAGGAGTACTTGTGGCACCTTAGCGACTAACAAATTTATTTGAGCATAAGCTTTCGTAAGCTACAGCTCACTTCATCGGATGCATTCAGTGGAAAATATAGTGGGGAGATTTATATACATAGAAAACATGAAGCAATGGGTGTTACCATACACACTGTAACGAGACTGATCACTTAAGGTGAGATATTACCAGCAGGAGAGCGTTGGAGAGGTTTTAGTTGGGGGCTGAAGGTGATGGCTAGTGGCGTTCTCTTATTTTCTTTGTTGGGCCTGTCCTGTAGTAGGTGACTTTTGGGTACTCTTCTGGCTCTGTCAATCTGTTTCTTCACTTCAGCAGGTGGGTATTGTGGTTGTAAGAATGCTTGATAGAGATCTTGTAGGTGTTTGTCTCTGTCTGAGGGGTTGGAGCAAATGCAGATGTATCATAGAGCTTGGCTGTAGACAATGGATCGTGTGGTGTGGTCTGGATAAAAGCTGGAGGCATGTAGGTAGGAATAGCAGTCGGTAGGTTTCCAGTATAGGGTGGTGTTTATGTGACCATCGCTTATTAGCACCGTAGTGTCCAGGAAGTGGATCTCTTGTGTGGACTGGTCCAGGCTGAGGTTGATGGTGGGATGGAAATTGTTGAAATCATGGTGGAATTCCTCAAGGGTTTCTTTTCCATGGGTCCAGATGATGAAGATGTCATCAATGTAGGTAGCGCAAGTAGAGTAGGGGCATTAGGGGATGAGAGCTGAGGAAGCGTTGTTCTAAGTCCACCATAAAAATGTTGGCATACTGTGGGGCCGTGCGCGTACCCATAGCAGTGCCGCTGATTTGAAGGTATACATTGTCCCCAAATGTGAAATAGTTATGGGTGAGGACAAAGTCACAAAGTTCAGCCACCAGGTTTGCCGTGACATTATCGGGGATACTGTTTCTGACGGCTTGTAGTCCATCTTTGTGTGGAAAATTGGTGTAGACTGCTTCTACATCCATAGTGGCCAGGATGGTGTTTTCAGGAAGATCACCAATGGATTGTAGTTTGGAGTACCAAGAAGTCACCTACTACAGGACAGGCCCAACAAAGAAAATAAGAAAACGCCACTAGCCATCACCTTCAGCCCCCAACTAAAACCTCTCCAACGCATCATCAAGGATCTACAGCCTATCCTGAAGGACGACCCATCACTCTCACAGACCTTGGGAGACAGGCCAATCCTTGCTTACAGACAGCCCCCCAGCCTGAAGCAAATACTCACCAGCAACCACACAACAGAGCCATTAACCAGGAACCTATCCTTGCAACAAAGCCCATTGACCGCTGTGTCCACATACCTATTCAGGGGTCACTATCATAGAGCCTAATCACATCAGCCACACTGTCAGAGGCTCGTTCACCTGCATATCTACCAATGTGATATATGCCATCATGTGCCAGCAATGCCCCTCTGCCATGGACAGTCTCTACGTAAAAGAATAAATGGACACAAATCAGACGTCAAGAATTATAACATCCAAAAACCAGTTGGAGAACACTTCAGTCTCTTTGGTCACTTGATTACAGACCTAAAAACGTCAAAAACAGACTCCAACGAGAGACTGCTGAATTGGAATTAATTTGCAAACTGGATAGAATTAACTTAGGCTTGAATAGAGACTGGGAGTGGATGGGTCATTACACAAAGTAAAACTATTTCCCCATGTTTATTCCACCCTCCCACTGTTCCTCAGACGTTCTTGTCAACTGCTGGAAATGGCCCACCTTAATTATCACTGCAAAAGGCCCCCCCGCCCCCGCTCTCCTGCTGGTAATATCTCACCTTAAATGATCACTCTCGTTACAGTGTGTATGGTAACACCCATGATTTCATGTTCTCTATGTATATAAATCTCCCCACTTTATTTTCCACTGTATGCATCCAATGAAGTGAGCTGTAGCTCACGAAAGCTTATGCTCAAATAAATTTGTTAGTCTCTAAGGTGCCACAAGTACTCCTTTTTTTTTTTTTTTTTTTTTTTTAAATCCGATGTTTCTGAACAAATTCTCCTAAACCTAAAAGTAGAAAAGTCCGGAGCCTCTTTAGCCTTTCTTTGAGTGGGAGTGAATTATGTGAAGGCATATATTAAAGTAAGAGAAAGGTGAAAGCAATCCAGATGAGAGCCCACTGGCAAATGGAGATGTAAGCCTGTGACTTTAGTCAGTCTACAGAAGTTTATTTGCCAGAGTTCACTGAACTATGTGGAGAGCAATTTCCCTGTTGTGCTAGCATTTTTCTTCAGAGCCCAACTAGAAAACAATTTCTTTTGCGCAGGAGGATTCTAGTGTGCTTTGATTCAGGTATATTTCTGTGTGTAAATTTTAGTTTCACTGGAGAGGAGAACATCATCTCAGTTTACCATCACCTTCAAATCTAGGAAGAAATTCCCATAATTTAGTGGTAGTGTAGGTGCTGTAAATGTTTCAGCTTTAACAAATACAGGTTCATATTCTTATTTCCTTTTTTGCTAATTTGAGTCAAGCTATAAAATTTATTTTACATAATTAAAGAGAGCCTCTTCCCTGTGACTTACAGTATATTTTTCTTATTTTCCATACTGCACTTTAAAAGAATTGCAATTGCCCTGATATGTGCTGTATCATTTAAAAACGGTTGAGCAATTCTGTATCTTTTTTTTTTTTAGTGGTAAGAAAATAAATGCCTCCGTGCAATTTTTTTTCAGTCTTAGGACATAATTGCTTATCACTATTGTCTTTTTGCACTTCCTGCTTTGTAAACTTCTTCCTATACATAATAAATGAGTTGAATCACTGGAAATCCCAGGACAGTGCCAAGTTACCAGAATAGCTAACCACATATCACATGTCAGTGATTTTATTGTCAAGAGGTGTAATAAAATGGATTGTGACTTACTTTAACTGGAAGGAGAGGACACTAACTCATGGCACTGAATGCGTTAGGGCAGAGAAGGAACTTCTGCTGAAGAATATAGGTGAAATCCTGGCCTCATTGAAGCCAGTGGAAGTTTAGCCACTGAGTTCAGAGAGGCCAGAATTTCATCCTTTGTACTTAACTGGATTTGAATGGAAGGAAATAAAAAGTTAACTGCTCCCATTCAGGATGATTCTTTGATGACACAGAACACCTAAGTGGTGTACAAACTGAAAACCTTCAGGCTTGCTGTATATAGTCCCTTACAAAGCATTTGCTAAATGATCACCTCAGTAAGTGAATATTGCTGTTGACAAAAAGTAAAGAGATTAAACAAATTTAAATCAAAAGTTTGGTAGTAGGGAATCTGAATTTCATGATCTGAGTCTTTCTTTGTAGTGGGACAAACTAGAAGCCTGAATCAGAATACCCTGGAATTTTTGGATGCTGGGAATCGTGACTCAATTCAAATTTTGTAGCTTCTCTAATAAATCCTGCTATGTATGCTTAAATACAAAAGCTGTGTCATGTGATCTAAATGTGGAGATAACTAATCCAATCTTGTAAGGAATGAGAAATGTTTTCATTTTTTATTTGGGAGCGTGAATTGGGTTCCCAGAATAGAATTCTGAAATAATAAAATAATACCTTAATTTATTAAATGCTTTTGCAAGACAGCAAAATAGTGTGCACTGTAACATTGAAACATGACTAGTAAGTGAAGGAAATTCATGATTCTTGATTTCAGGTACAGTACGTAAAATACTGATAATAGGTTTGTTTCTTTTTGTGCTCCCTTATTTTAAAATTGATATACTCAAATTCAAAAGGCACAAGCCAAATGAAATTTGAATCCTGTATATTTATTTATCTCCGTTCATGCATGAGTTACTTTCAGATTACATTTGGTGTAATGAGAGGTTTGTCTGACTAAGGACTGCAGGATATGGCCCTGTAAACTGTATGGGAAATCTCAGTACAAGACAGGGAAAATCTGTAACGTACATAAAAATGGAAATATAATACCAGCAGCACAAGTGCAACAGGCTTGTGATCAGGGAGTATGGAGAGGAAATAATGAAAGAAAGGGAATGGAAATGTCACTATTAAGTAAAGAATTCTGATTCATTAAGGAAAAGTTGGATGCACAAATTAGAGTAGCTACCCAGAAGGTCTGATTTATGTGGAAGGCAAACTTTCACATGGTTAAAGTGTTCTTGAAAACTATCGCCAGTACACTGGGCATGCTTTCCTTCAGTGACTGGCAGTTTTCTCTCTCTGTAATGTAAGGAGAAAAAATCCGCTTCATGCCTTATTTCTACTAGGCCTTCTTGTGTCCTTGTAGAAATGTGGTACAGGATCTCGTTCCAACATGCATACCTTTTGGGTGGGATCTTGTCCCCTTAAGATTTCAGTGCTGTTGAGCACTGTTAATTTGTATGGGTCTTCAGCGACTGTTCCATTTTGTGGGAATGGAAATCATTTTTTCTTATCTTGCCTTGTAAAGATCTAGTTCTTGACTCTGGGCCTGGCAGTGAAGTGACATCAGCGGAAAATACTGAAACAAGGTTTTAAAACAGCAGAAGTGGTGGGGCACCAAGAGTCATGGCCACCTTATGGTTTAAGTCAAGGGTGTCTGAACCTGAGAAGCACTAGAGGTTGTCTTGGGGTTTTTTAGTTTTATTGTTTGAATGCGGTGTAAAATAATTAGTCTGAAAGAGGAACTTCCACATTTATTTAATTGGATCAAAAATGGTGTTTTGTATTGTCTGTCTATCAGAAGCAATGCTGAGATGTAATGAGTCCAACATTGTCTAGATGTCAGATACTTTGTTGTACTGTTGAATAACATATAGATAATATATGCAGTGTAATTGTAGCCATGTTGGTCCCAGGAATTTACCTCACCCACCTTGACTGTCTACTATAGCTCATGCATACTTCTTGACAGAAGGAAATTGTGTAAAAGTGTAACACATGCAAGCAACAAAACGAGTGATGAATAGATTGCTTACACTCTTTTATACGCTCCTTGTGGCTCCTGATAGATGTTCCACACAGTATTCCAATAACATGGCTGATGGCTTAAAATGAAAACCAGTCACAAACAAATATTATTTATGAAAAGGTGTGCCCATACAGAAAAAGAATATCATCACTAACACTCTGTGCATCCTCTTTGTCTCTTTGGGTGCTAGTAGACTCTTTTGGGTTTGCTCTGGACTGAACAGATTCTATCTACAGTAATATTAGTTAAGCTGCTTTGACCACCTTTCTTTAGTACACAACCATCCATTGCTACACAATTACCATAGTTAGTGAGCTCATTTAAATTAGAACTTAGATTGAGAGAGTAGAATTTACTAATCTTCCTCCTTCCTAAATAGGCCTTTTCAGTGCTACTTTTCTTTGGCATTTCTCTTTAAGCAATATTAGCATCGCCAACCCCAATCTGGAACTAAATAGGTTGCTTCCTCTGTATGTCTAACCACCTCCATGTCGAGGAGTGAGGCGTAAGCCTGGACGCTGACCTATTAAATAGTGACCCACATAAACAGTTGTGTTTAGAAGTAAGATTTATTGCTGCTTTTGCATATCGCCTTTTCTCATTTATTAGGCCAGGTTGTATCAGTACAACACTGTGGGAGTGGGGAAAAAATTATTAGAAACTTCAGATTTTCCTGGTAGTATTTTAGCCATAGAGAGAGATTTTGCTAGGATCTCTCTTCTGAGCTTAAGGGGAAATCTCTAGGACAGTTTTAAAAAATGAAGTTGCAGGTATTTTTCACAAGTTTTGGCAGGAGTAATTGTAGAATTTTTTCCAGGTGGCCATGCTCCAGAATGAAAGTTTGGAAAAGAACAAGAGTATACAAACTTTACATAATCAGATTTGTAGCTTTGAAATAGAAATTGAAAGACAGAAGGAAATGCTGCGGAATAATGAATCTAAAATACTTCATTTACAGGTAAGAATTTTAGACTCTCCCCATTAAAACAACAATTACAGTAGCTTCTGTTCTGTGCCTTTACGCTTGCAAAGTGAGGTGTTCTAATTAAAAAAAAAAGTTTCACTCAAAAGGAGGCATTTACAATATTATAAAATAAAGTTTTGAAATATACCTTTTTTCCTGCTCAGTAGCTGGTTTTTCATATGTAAATCTCTTGATGGGTTTTAAAAGTTTTCACTAAAACGTTAAATTGACTACTCCACTTCAAAAAAAACTGTATTGCATGAAAAGCCTAATTTTTAAAAAGAATAGTTTAAAGCTAAATAACACTTGGTCAGAGAAGCAATTGTAATCCTAAGAATTTAATTACTTTTTGCTGCTATGTAAATCAAAAATCTGCTTAACAGACCACTGCCAAACTTGAAGCAAGGCCAGTTAAATCCATTTAAACTGTCCTATGCTCACTCTGTATTTCCTTTCTCCTTACTGGTACTTAAGAAGATATTCATTATGGGTGAAATTCACCCCTATACAGTCAGCGCAAGTCTGTGCACTGCGTTTGAGTAGATGTTTTTCTCTCATATATCTTGTGACTTCGTCCATGATTCTTTCAGAGAAAATAGTACCTTTTTCACCCCCAAGGATCCCTTTATAAGCTATTGTATAAAGGCACTGTTGCAAACAACATTCTGACACATCCATCTCTAGAGTGGAACATAGCAGCTTTAACTGCACACTCCAGTAGTATATATCAGTTTTCAAAAGAATGTAGATAAGTGTCATATCCAGTTGATGTTCCAAGAGAAATGTAGGTATTGTAGGCAGAATGTAAATACCCAAACAAGAATATCACGGGGGTTCAGTTTTATGTCTCTTCCAAAAGTTGGCATGTCCAACAGGACAGTGTCCCTAAACCACTATGCTGGGGACATTGCTTCAGTACCATCTAGAAGTCCCGTCTATTTGAAACATCAGCACTACCTCCCACAACACCTGTATCTTGGCCTCTCCTGTTCAAGTAGTGATGCTGCCTGTCTCTGCTTAGGTGGTGGCCAAAGATATGGTGGCATGCTTGCAATATTGCATTCCAACACTGTGGAAGTAATTCAGGGTAGTGGCATACTTTTTCTGTATTTTTCCTATCTTGGCATTTCCTGGTGCATTGGAAAATTATTATTGTATTTCTTTGTATTGTGTCTACGGACCCCAGTCAGAGATCAGGACCCCATTGTGCAAAGCGCTGTAAAAACATATAACAAAAATACGATGCTTGCCCCCAACAAGCTTGCAATCTAACTCTAGTGCCGTGAATAAATGTGAAGAATCGACTTATTGGTGTGCTTTAAATGTATGTGTGCCTCTGTATTCACTGCTGCATGACTGTAGCACAGTGGTTCTCAAACGGGAGTCGGGACCCCTCAGAGGATCATGAGATTATTACATGGGGGGGTTGTGCGCTGTCAGCCTCCACCCCAAGCCCCGCTTCACCTTCAGCATTTATAATCATGCTAAATATAAAAAAAGTGTTTTTAATTTATGGGGGGGGAGGTTGCATTCAGAGGCTTGTTCTGTGAAAGGGGTCACCAATACAAAAGTTTGAGAACCACTGCTCTAGCATGAGGTAGGTTATCTTGAAAGTGAAAGTCTTTTTACATGCAGTTCTCTCTTAATGGGTAAGGATGGGAAAGGAAATATAGGAAAAGGTATAGCAATGTTTAATGAGGTCTTGGCAACTTATTGTAATTTTTCAAACTTGCTCAAGCCATGGCACTGGTCTGGTTCTGTTTAGAAGGGGTTTGTGTTTTAAAGAAATCCATTTTAATCCAAATCAAATAGATGGCTCTTTGGAGGTAGAGGGAGATTGAAGAGTTCTCCCCCCTCCCCCCCCCACACCTCGCTTTACTTGTCCTATCGCCTTCATTATTCCAAGTCAAATAGTGGCTTAATGTTACTTCAGTCTGATTTCTCCCACGTGCTGAAATCCTGGTCTCCATCAAATCTGCAAGGGCAGTCTATGAATATATCCTAGTTTGATTTCTTATGAATTCTTTGGCCAGTCTCTGTCATCCAATAGGAGCTAAAAGCGTTAATTACCTGTTGTGAGCTATTCTTCCAGACTGTGTTGAGCAGCCATTGAAGTACCAAAGCCACAAATACTTATAGTGTAGTACTATGCAATCTGTGTTTGGACAGGCATTAATTGTTCAGCATTTGAGTCCTACGTGTACTGATAACTTTCAGTATGATATCAGTATTAGTTGCCATTCAACCTTCCTTGGTATTGGGAACAGCTGTGTTTCATTGATTACAGTTGGTATTGTTGTCTGCTCTGCAAGTCACTTTGGCAACAGCATTCTTAACAGTTCTTCTGAGCATAAAAGCATCAAAAGGCATCTGGGTGCTGGCAGGAATCTCAGCACTTAGGACCTTTTGGTTCAGTCTAATTTTCTCTGTACTGTTCTCCAAGGTAAATTTTAATACTTTCTTTGATTCGGTTTCATCAGCTTGCAAAGGAGTCACAAACTATTTTCTCAGCCACCATTTCATGGAAGCAGCCTGTGTTTTAAATCTCCATTATCAATGGATGGTAATGCTCTAGAAAAGCCAAGTCTTTCTAGAACTTTAAACTACTTCCAGTAGTGTCCATATGGGTGTTCCACTGTAGGTGTGTCTGCGTCCCTGCACCTTTGGTCACAGATTTTAGATAGCAGTGTTTGTTTGGCCCATACATGCACTCTCACTCCCTCGTGCTCTGCCTCAAGGCTAACTCGTGCTGGAGGGGCGAACTGTCCTCGGTTCCTTCTCAACCGCCCATGGTCAGAGACAGAGCACATAGCAGTCCACTTTCTCTTTCCTCAGAGTTTGAGTTCACTTTTCTAGCTCCTACTAGAGTTTCCATTTTTTTTTCCTTAGCTTTTTGGGTTTCTGTTAGGTTCTCTTCCCCCTCCTCCCCCCCACCCCCATTAAAAAAAATAAAATTTCCTTATCCCTGTTTTCCCCCTTTTTCCCCTGTCTGGGAATTGCCCTCAGTAAGGGGCATGCCCAGTTCTCCTGTGTTTAAGCAATGCCTCTCCTGTAGGGAGCAGTACCAGTTACAGATGGACACTATTGCGGCGTTCGGAGCCTCAGAAAGGCTCACATTCCGTAGAAGTGCACCTTCTGCCAACAATTGAAGGTTATATCCCAAAAGAACTGGGAATTAAAGTTGAAACCCCTCCTCATGGACGGTGCTCTTAAATTGACATCTGACCCCAGTCCTGAATCTCCTCCATGGTAAAGGTCGTCCCCGGACTCTTCAACTTCTGAGAGAGAGACGAGGAGGAAATCTTCTGACTACCCTCGCAAAGTCTCCAGAAAGAGGGCTGCAAGCCTTCAAACTGAGCTCTTGACCAGCCAGAGGAGATCCATGGCATGATTGGTCACCTCTGCACTGGTGGCACAAACAGCTCTGAAACACGGTACCATAGGTCAGATGGGTCCTTTGGTGCAGACACTGCCTATAAGCCTAAAGACCTAAAGGGCACAGGCTCTGAAGCAGCAGTATTGCCAGTCAAAGGCAAGAGCAAAGACCATACCATCTCTGTGACGATGGTACTAAAGTGGAAAAACCTACGGTGCCAACTACTTTCAAATAACCCCTGCTGGGCCGATCATCTCGCTCAAGATCTCTACCAATTTTCTCTGTACCAGCAAGTCGGCACCAGTGAGTCAACACAGATGAGCCCTGTCAGTACGAATCACACTGCGGTGCCATGGGAGTTTCCTTTTTCTAGTGATGTCATGGTGGCTGAGACTCCAGAGTCCCTGCTGCTTGGTCTCAGGGCCCTGGTAGCAAGCCCATCTTGATCCCTGCAGTCACCACCAGTGATGGGGTGTTCAATTCCAGTCTCCTTGTCTACTCCGCCGCTATACAGCGAGGATTCAGATAGTGACCAAGGTGATATCCTCTCACAGCCTTCACACTGTGGGCCATCTCTGCATCAACCAGGGCACTCCCCATTATACCCTTGTTCTGAGCCTCAATTCTCCTGGTATGGCTGCCCCTGGGAACCACCACCCATGCCCTTTCCATCACCCCAGTGGCCATACTGGGACCCATGGGCAGCCCACAGGCATCCTACTTCTTGGACATTTGGTGTTTCCTACCAAGAATTGATAAGACTGTCTTCTTCAGCTTCTGTATCTAGAGCCCCAGAACCTCAAGAAACTTTTGAGGAGCAAGAGGCCAGGCTAGAGGAGGAGGTTACACCACCAATGAATATCTCCTCCTTCTCCCCAAACGAGGTGGTGATGCCTCCTCCACCATCCATGGTGGATAATTTTAAACTATTTCAAGATCCCACAAAAAGAGTGGTAGACACACTACAGATTCATAGATATTAAGGTCAGAAGGGACCATTATGATCATCTAGTCCGACCTCCTGCACAACGCAGGCCACAGAATCTCACCCGCCCACTTCTGCGATAAACCTCTCACCTATGTCTGAGCTATTGAAGTCCTCAAATCCTGGTTTAAAGACTTCAAGGAGCAGAGAATCCTCCAGCAAGATTCCGCTGGTGGAAGTGAAAGATACCCACTATAAGTTAGTGGATATACTGCACACCTCCTTTTCCTCCTGAAGACTTGCCCTCCCAGTCAATGAGGCACTTCTAGATCCTGCAAAGGTCATTTGCCAAATGCCAACCTCTACCGCACAAACATGTAAAAGGGCTAATAAAAAGTGCTGTGTGTCCTCCAAGGATGCAGAATTCCTTTTTTCACACCCTCCACCTAACTCCATCATTGTGGATATTGTGAATTCCCATGGCCAACAGCATCATACTAAATCCACTCATTATGACAGAGACTGGAAAAGAGTTGATTTATTTGGTAGGAAGGGATACTCCTCAGCAACTTTGCCATTCAGGATTGCAAATTATCAAGCCTTAATGGGGAAGTACAACCACATCAACTATGCTAAGCTTAATACATTTATTGACCATTTGCTAGAAGCACAATGGAAACAGTTTCAAGCAAT